GGGGGGGGGGGGTATGAGTGGGTACTTACGGAGCGCTAAGCTTAACTTGATCCTGGTCCGCAAAAACATAGTTGCCATTTCCGACAGCCGGGCAGCAAGTGGCCAGTTCAGCGGCGTACTGTATCAGGAGCGAGAGGGGCACGTCATGAGCAGGCGAGGAAAAAAAGCCCTTCCGCATAAGTGCAGATAGTTTGGGACAGCTCGTTAGTTGAAGACAAACCGTGGGAGTACGGAGGAGTTCAGGAACGCTTCGAGCAACAGCAGCTGAAGCCGATTTGGAGGCAAAGAAGTAACGACCATGCACATGTCCGATCTAAGCAGAAGATGGGCAAGGAGCAAGAATGAGTTTGTGCCTGAGGTATACAGCGAGCTGGGTGTCAGCGGGTTTCACCTGATCATGCGTCACGAGCAAGGCAGCATTGGGATTGAACCGGGCAATCGTGACTGTGTACTCGTGGGCTGTTGTGGCGTTGTGGAGAAGAAAACACGATTTTTTCAAACGCTTTGCCACCCGTCGGATGAGCCAGGCAGCCGCCTGGAAGCATGGGTTTATAGCAAGGTGACATGGAGATGGGTCAGCGGGCACAGAGGGGTTGGCTGTGCGAGTAGGAAGACGTGATGGATGGGAGACGTACCGGCAAACGCAAGGCGCCAGCAAAAAACGGAAATGAGTCGAGTTGGGCGTCCTGGGGATCGTCATACAGCTGCAGCGTGGCGCCTGTATGGGAGAGCCACGCAAACAATTGAAGGAGATTGATGTCTTTACGCAGTCGACTTGGAGAGGGTTAGGAGGAGAGGAAGAGGGTGACTCGACCTTGCCATGGGGCGTGGCGAATGCCCGCAGCTTTGAGCAGACCGACCACATCGACAACATCCGCCGTACACTGGCGAGAAGAAGGAGAGAGGAAAAGAATAGGGGTCAGCACGTGGAGAACATAGCATGAAGCTGCGGTGTGGAGGGCATGTGATTTGGGTTCTCACCGAGAAGCGAAGGTCAATGTGATTTTCAGAGGTCACGGCAATGACAAGATATTGGCCTTGCCAAGTGTAGTGCAAGCACAAATCCAGACTGCAACGCGTGAGGGCTAGATCCTCTAGAGTGACGTGACAGAGCAAGGGAGGGCGAGGGTCGTGGCCATGAAGAGCGAGCAGTGGGACTCGAAGGAAAGCGGCGAGCGCTACCAAGATGCTGGACAAAACAAGGGAGGGGAACACGATAGAGTGACACGCACGCACGCACGCACGCACGCACGGACTCACCATTGGGATGTTCGAAAATGGCAACTCGAAGCTCACTGGCATCAGCAGAAAGCTGAAGCTGGCCAGCCTGCCACATTGAGGACTGGGCCAGATGCACAAGGCAGGGTATGGGTATGCCGCTTGTGTCCGAGGCTAACTCGGGCCCAGGACTGTATCGCTGCGCAACAAATGCGGCCATGCTGCCCGGTCTTGCCTGGCAGCCGCGTAGGGCTGAGGGCAGTTAGGCGGTGGAGAGCGCGCTGTCGGAAGTAAAAAAGCCCAACGCGAAGCTGGTCTGGCGTGTGGGAAGCAGTTGAATGTGTCTCGAGAGGATCACGGCCACGCCAGGCGTAGCAAAGCAGGCGTGCCTCTCAAGGCAAGGCAGGAGGCAGGCAGACGCCCGCCCGGTCTCTGCCAGCAGAGATCAATCAGGTCCAAGACAGGAACATGAGAGTCTCGATGGAGAAGGGAGAAGGGGGGAGAGGGCGTCAACCAAAATGGGCAACCGATGGAAAGCCTGACACTACAGCAAAAAACCGACCAAGGAAGAAACACACACAAACACACACACACACACACACACACACACACACACACACACACACTTAACAGAGTGCGCGGCAAGGAAAAGGGGGAAGAGGGAGCGCAGGCTCGGCAGGCAGAAGAGGCACGCCCTGCTGGCATTCACATAGAGGGAGAAAAGGAGAGAGGGAGAGGGAGAGACAGTGCGTGTCAGGAGCTGGGTGCAGAGCTTGTGACGCCGACTCAAAAAACATTGGAAGAAACGGTTTGGTTGTACGAAGACAGATGAGATGCAGCAAGAGATGGGAGGCGAGATGCGCTGCTGCTTGCTGAGAGCTAAGCACCCTGCTGCAACGGGTTTGCCACGAGGTGGAGCGGATGCACACCAGAGCAAGACATCAGAGCACACACACCAGAGCAGGGCGTAAAGACAGAGCAGGGAAATGCGTGGACCTGCCACATCCATTGGCACCGCCAAACGACCCCCCCTCCACCACTGCACGTCAAGCCATCAGCACACACACACACACACAGACGCAAACACATGTGCCCGAACCCAACCCTACTTGCAGTTTGGTGGAAATTGGACCCATACTTGTCCGCGGAATCAAATGATGCAGGGTTTTGTTAAGTGGAAGGGAGATAGGCATGGTGTGGGACTGGACAAGGCATGGTAGCGAAACTATGGTAGCGAAGACATGGTCAAATGCGCACGATCGGCTCCACATGTGTGTGTGTGTGTGTGTGTGTGTGTGTTTGTCTGTGGGATCGTGATTCTTTTTCCCTGACATCTTCACACCCTTTACCCATCGCTTGCATACGGTTCCCACAAAGTGTATCAAACATAAACGGCTATAAGAACAACAGCAGTTCACTTAGTAATGATTAACATTTCCACACTTACTCTCATTTTTACTACAAATACTCCCTGTGTCTGCTTCGACCGAATCTCAACGATCTGTTGGGTTGTTCAAAACAGCTGTCGTGAACGGCTCATGCATCGCTCGCTAACTCACTCTCGAATCGATCCACCAACGGGGCGCGATGGAAGTGTACGTCGGACCATCCCCGTACAGCTGCACTGGGCTCACTCACACGCTCGTTGCCCAACACCGCTAGCTCTGTATGATTACACGCCGGACGGCTGTGGACAACTCACCTTTGTCGCTGGTGGACCCCGCTTTGCTGCAGCGTGTCGGAGAGCACGGCGCTCCTCTCCCAGTATGAGGTCCTTGCCCTCGTTGATGAGCAGCTCAATGCACTAAAGCTCAAATCCCGTGCCGTCAATCACCGCCAGAAAAACTTGCACACCGTTCTCTTTGAGGTGTGACCTTGGCTTGGCCATTTGCTGTTGTGCCGGGCACCGCCCCATCATTGGGCTGACTATCCCTCGGAAAATGATACAAATTTGTCAGGTCGGGCAATACCTGCAGAACAAGCCAGCTCGCCAACAGACCGCAGAGAACGTCACGGCAGCGCTTACCGTTATGGCTCAGTACCCCCTTGTTCGGTCTGTTCTGCCACCCGCCTTGTACTTGCAGCTTATTTTGCCCCAGGGCTACTCATCCTCGCCCACATACACATGCACGCACCAATTCATCCTGCCCTCAACGATTTCTCTCTGTCTCAAACGCCACCTTCACACAGGGCTGAACGATTGCAACTTTTGGATCATCGCCCGTGCGAAGAACTGGGCTTGCAACTTGTGCGTACCACCCTGGTCCTCTCACATTTGAGTCTCCCGCTGCCACACAGGCCGCTTTGCTGCTTGCTTAACGCTGACCCGGACCTGGATCGTCCCGTGATAGATGATTGAGGACTGCCACGTGCGCCTCACACCGGACCAAATTGCTGCACTGAGCCAAGGCTTGCAAGAAGCTTTGCCCTTGGCAGGTGATGAAGATGAAGGCGAAGCAGACGCGGCTGACGAGGATGTCGCTGAGGACGATGGTGCTGCAGAAGGCGATCAGGAACAGGAAGGTGACGAACACGGTACGCCCCATTCCACAGGCGCTGTCTTCTGCTACTCACACCCGCATACTCGACAAAACAAGAACAACAAGAGTTGGAGATGCCGACCCACCTTCATGCCAGCACCCCAGACTCATGTGTGCTCTGGCCCCACCACAATCTCATGTGTGCCCTGGCCCCACCACAATGCCCTTTCTGCCCCTAGCCATGGAAGGCGAAGACGGTAATCCTGTCAACGGTACGGACTGGTCCTCTGACACACGCCCATGCCCAAGTTATTGTTGTCCTCTCTGCTTCGCATTCTTAGTCACCTCGCTCTTCCCCCCACCTTTGACCTGACCTGATAGGCTTTTACGAGCAACCTGATCTTGTTGAAGAGACTCGCGGCGGTGCACGGGACGAGGATGAAGATTAGATAGGCTCATCCCGATTGAGCAGCACAGGTTTTATGCCCTGTTCATGCCCCATCCCTATTCTTTCTTTTCCTGACGCTGGGCGTCCCTTCTTGTCATCCCGTTTTGCTATTGTCTGCCTTGTTCCGTGTGTCAAAGCATGTTCCAAGCGCATAGTCGTCTGTCATAAAATCGGATAGTAGTCTGTCATAAAATTGTCATTTTTGGCCCAAAAGGCCGTCTTGCTAACATGAATGGACTGCCCTCATACTCATTTTCGTAAACTCTGTCATGAGGCATGATGATTGCCAAAGGCCTCGGCGTACACGTTGGCAAAAACCTCCAGTCGCTCAATCATAAGGCGACGAACGGGCTCAAACGCATCTTGCACCGCGCTTCGCGTCTTTTCGCTGTTTGCATCGCTGCCGTGCGCCGTAGCCAACGAGAGTCCTCGCAGCAAGCATCCCAACAGCGTATGCAGCTCCTTGGCCGTCATCTCTGGCACGGCGAGACGCAGCGAAGCCAATGCGGGCGGCACCCCCGGACATAATCTGCCACGACCAGCGTTCATCATGAGAGATCGCGAGATATCCAAGCAAGACTCGCGTCGCGCTGCACCCACCCAGCGGCATGCATCAGGGTTGCACATTGCTGCTGCATCACTGGCGTCACGCGAATCTTTAGTTGATTGATCTGCAAGCCCACACATACAAGGAAACGGCGATGAGCACAGGCATCACATGCTACATGCGCCCACCGGATTGGCCACATCAGGCCGACAGTTCCTATTAGAGAGTCGCCCATACTCACCTTGATCAAGGGTAAGAGGGTAACCATGGCTGTGCGCGCCAGGCTGTGGATCATATTCGCACCCTCCCGGTGAAAGCTTGGTGCCTATGCGCACACAAAGACCAGGCCAGAGTAGCACGAGCACTTGAGTGTTCCGTCGCCTGCACGCACCCTGCCTGCTCCAATCTGTCTTGCTGTCCATAACCAACCTCAAGCGCGAAAAGCAACACATCGTGCAATAAAGGCAGCCTCTCGAAGGACTTGCGCAAATTGAGATCATAGGGCCACAAATAATTGCTCTGCTGCGTAGCGTCCGCCTTGGGTACAGGAACAGGCTCGGCCTGCCGCCGCGCCGCCAAAAAAATGGCAGGCTAAGCGCAACCACCACAACGCAATACAAGACGACATGAGCTGCAATCAGCAATATGTACAGCGTGCCCTGCTGACTCAGTCCAACTGACAATCACGCCCCGTCTGTGCCCCCTCCATCCGACGTGCTAGAACGGTGGATGTAAAGCGGTTGTCAAAATGCTTGACTTACGAGCATGGTGGCCAATTCAGGGTAGGTGGCCAAAGAGTCCACCAAAAGCTGCAGGAGTCCGGCCTGATCAATTGTCGAAGCATCCCGGCTGGCACTGTGGCGTCAGTCGATACAAAGGTGGAACATGAGAATCAAGTGTCACTTGCTCATCAGACTCTTGTTGAGAACATGAAACACCCGCTCCCGGGGTCGCACACACAGACATACTGTCATACAACAGTAACAACCATGACTCCAGCCCCTCACCCACCCAATTCCACTCACTTGGTCGGTGCGGCGTTGGGAATCTGGCCCGAGGCATCTACCAGATTCAAAACACAGACCCCAGCGTGCCAGGTGGTGAAGCACCCACGGAATGAGGTATGATACAACGTGATGACACCCAGGTGGCGATTGCAAAAAAAACATGGACGCACAACACACACGCGCACAAACATACACGAATGCTGAAGTTCTAGTTCCTCCTTCATGGATGACAAGCCATCACCATGTTGCTGTAATGATCGTAGGCGAGACACCAAGCCAATGTCAGCTGCGCCATGTGCATCCTCCAACATGTCACGCCATTGGCGCGTGACGTGGAAACGCGATTGGACACGCACCGAGCGCCGAGATACACCATGCACTGCATCGAGAATGGCTGCAAATAGCACACGCCAAAACACGATGGCCGAGTCTGAAGAACGCAGCACTTGCACAAGAACTGGGCGCAGCGCCGCAATCTGTCCACAAGGGTGCCATCATGCGTGAGCTGAAGCACGAGGATGGGATGGGGGGGAGGGCGGATGTGCGTTGCGAGATATGGTGCGAAGGGTAAGAGACGGCGCACGCCTAACCTGATGCCAAAACGGCTTCAATGCGGTGGCAGTGGCCCGGGCAACGGCACGTGAGCTGTTTGACCAGTCTGCGTAGCAAAACGGACGGGCCGTCATGATGAATGCGACAGGCACACAGAACACGCAGAGGTCACTGATCACATGTAACTGGAGAAAACCTCGTAGTCTAGCACCTTTACTCACAGAGGGTGCTTGCTTCTAAAAAGTGAACCACGATACCACGACTTGTTTCGTCTGCTCCAAGGCAAAGGAGCATGTCAGGTTGCAGGCAAAGCTCGGCCGCGTGTTCCTCCAGAAGATGAGGCGCTTTGCGTAAACAATGAGCGACCAGGCCCATGCTGTAGTCTTTCCAATCAGCGTTGACGTCTCCAGCCGCATATAGAACCAAGCGCGGCAGGATAAGCTGGCCCACCACAAGCGCCGAGTCTGAGAGGAGGGCTTCGACGACTTGTGCTGCGGAAATGGTCGGGCTGGCGGCCGACCAGACTCGTAATAGCTCTCCACCAGCGGCACATAGGGCCAGGGCCCGCGTCACGGCCAGTAGCAGGTCCAACAAGCTGGCAGGGGAGTGGGCAGGCAGCCGAGCCACCGCACATGCCGTTTCAATGATGTGTGGCACGTCGGCATGTGCCACAAGGTGCCAGGGCTGCTGGCACAAGTGATGGCAGAGCGCATGTGCTTGCGGGGTCAACTGCCCCATTGCATCCGTCAGCGTTACGAGAGTGTGTAAGTAGGCCGAGAAGAGATGGGGCGAGGCAGAAGGTGAGGCCTGACAGGCCATGATCATGTCAAAACGAGCTGGATCAGTCAAGACCTCGCGCAAATCTTTTTGCACCAGGGACTGCTCCTGGCCGAGTCGGCAGTAGTGATATAGGGCGGCACGCGCGGTAGGTGTCATCCGCGCACTTTTGGGTGCCGTCTGCGCAAGCTGGGCGGCCGCGCTGCAAAAGCGATGGCACCACTCAGCGTCCATGGACGGCAGCAGATACGAGGCAAGCGCAGGATCGTGTAGGCTCGCGAGGAGGGCCAGAGTAGGCCAAGCACGCGGATGCCTCGACTCAGTGGGCGGCATGGAAGCGGATGTAGAGGCAGCGAGAGCAGCCATGGAATTCGGATTGATGTGCTGCAAGTGACAAGCCCCGCGCAGCAGGGCAGCAGAAAAATGGAGATGGGGCTGGCCCCAAATTTGTGCCAGCCCCACCAACTGCATCTCCGTGGCGCCTTGCTCAGAGAGATGGGCCTCTACGCTTGTGAGGATGGCCTGGGTCGGGCGGTCACTGAGGCTGGGAGATGGGCTGGCGCGCGAAGCGGTGTCAGTGTCCATGGCTGATGCCCTCAAGCCTGGGTCTTTGGCATCATTATCCGCCAATCGGGCCATCAGCCGCTCGAGCTGCAACCAGAGGAGGTCGCAGAGCATGGCGAAGGGATCCTGTTGCACGCGAGCAATACGCTTGATGCGCTTGATCGGGTGATCCTCGCCCTCCTCCTCACTGCGCTGCACAATGGCGGCAGACAGAGGCGACCCGGGCACCAAGGAACCCAGTTGCGACGGTAGAACCTCACTGATCCAGTAAACAGCCTCATCTGGTGCAGCCCACTCATAGCTTGCCCGGGCTTCGGTTGCATTCCGCTTAGCAGCAGACCCCGACCCCGGCCTCACTGTCACCTCTGTCACTCGATCCTCTTCGTCGTGGGCATCGGCTTCTGCATCAGCCTCTGCATCGGTGGCTGCATCGGCGGCGGCGGTAAGCCGGACGACTGCTTCAACGATCGCATCGCTGTGCGTCTGGTCAACCTCCGAGGGACCGTGTCGCCGGCCATCATCGGAATCCACCCCTAGTGCCTCGAGCTCTGCTCCCTGCAGCACCTCAGCGGCCGCGGCACCCACCCCAGCCACGCTCATCTCTGTGCGTACCTCAGGAGAGCCCACCCAGTGACCGCAACCTCCCAGAGGCCCACCACCACCACCACCGCACACACACAGAGCCCAAAGGCACAAGAAAAAGCAGAGGACGCGAACTGAAACCCGTCCACACGGCTGCGAAAAAAAAAAAAGAGAGTTGAGAGCCAAGAAAGAGATTTGTGATTTTATCTGACAAATGGGTGACCAACTGTAAGTGTCAATCTCTCCTTTTCTTTTTTTTTCTTTTTTTTTTTTTTTTTTGAGATTTGAACCCTAGTCTTTGTCATGCGCATGGCTGACTCAACTGGGTGGCACTTTTTTTACACCACGTCCTCACCGCCATCATGGTAAGCCGTTGGCTTCAGCTCGATATGGCACCGGCAGACCCACCATACATGCGCGTCGCCGATCGGCGTCACGCGCTGGCGCGTGGGTCTGCCTACATTGAGATCACGCCCTCTTGAGTTCCAGGCTGCCCTTCAAGACTCAAGCTGGCAAAGTGTTCCCTCACACGTGTTCATGTGATTTGATGGTTGTGATATAGCCCAAGCAGATCAACGAGATCAAGGACTTCCTCCTCACCGCGCGCCGCAAGGACGCCAAGAGTAAGCTTGATGTTTTTTCGCTCAAACCCCATTTTGGTGGTGGTGGTTGTTGCTGTTGTGACCAGTTTGTTGTGGCGCCGCTACCGAGACACGTTTCCATGTGTCATGGCGCGGCGTCTGGTGGTCCCAAGTGCCCGAGCCACGAAGATGACAACTTTTTCTCAGACCAAACTGTGTTGACTTGGTTTAATCCATCTCTAAGAAGTCCTGAGTGGCCCTGCGTTCCGTTTTGGTGGTCGCGTTTGTGTCTTTCTCGCGCGTTTTGAAGTTTTAATTTGTCCGAACAAGCGTCAGTGTGCCGAGCCGAATGTGAATTGCTCACGATATCATTCTGTTTTTCCCCTATGTACAGTGGTCAAGATCATGAAGACCAAGGACTACGTCAAGTTCAAGGTCCGCTGCAGCCGCTACCTGTACACCCTCGTGGTCAAGGAGGCCGACAAGGCTGAGAAGCTCAAGCAGTCTCTGCCCCCGGGTATGTGTTTTGGCTATGAGCTGTGGCCGTACATTGTCTTGTCCCGTGATTGGGCACCACCTTACCCTGCTCTCTCAACCCTGTTCCTCGCCACGTCTCATGTCTAGGTCTCGTTGTGAAGGACCTCTAAGCGCGGTCAGTACTTGGTGAAGTGGTGTGAGCGGTGGTGCCGGCCTGATAAAGGCTGCATACCGATATTACAGCTTGATCCGAGTGCATTGTTATGATGCCCGAATCAGGTGTTTGGAATCACATTACTTCAATTGACCGGCTTGAACCTACTTATATTACACCACTGCCAACTTTTTGATGCACAATTATCTTCGCTTTTGACTGCTGTCCTTGATGTCATTGTATACCCGGTTGTTCTTGTTTCTGTCATTATTTCTACCACTGAGCTTGTTGATGCCCATTAATATGCTAAGGCGTTTCTTGTGTTGAACACATTGATACAGACCACGAAGCGCCGTGCGCTACGTTCTATCTCGTTGTAGAGCCACGTTGGCTCCCGACGGCCGCTTTTGCTCAAACGCAAGCGTCTGCTGCAAAAAAGGCTGCATACTACAGGCCACCTATTCCCTTGGGGGTACGCGTGTATCATCACGGGCAGGCGCTAAGCGTCTTGTGTTTTCCAGAATGCTGGTGACACTTTGCCTTGAGGCCTGGTCAGCCACCCTCCCGTCCTGGCGGTGTGTGGTGAAGCTGGCATTTTTTTTTTTTTTTTTTTTTTTTTTTTTTTTTTTCAATAATAAATGGGAGACCGTATTATTTCACGACTTCCTGTGTCTCTGGGCAGACCCATTTGGTTGAAGCGAGCATAGCAAGCGTTGGGCTCAAAGTATGGGAATCCCACATCAGCATCATGCAAATACACTCCACGCATCAAGCAAAGGTTAGGTGGGTGGAGAGCGAGCTTCCAGCTGCTGAAAAATGGTGCTAGATGCCATCAGATTCTCAATGTACTGAGTCAACATCTAAGCAATAACGAATAAGAATGGGCAGCGTTCGGGTTAATCACGCACGACGACCTGTGTAGCTGCTAGCTTTGTGGATCAGAAGCAGCATTCTGACGCACCCCATTCTCCCGCTTGAGGCCGTCGTTTTCCTCGCGCACACCGTCCACACGCTCAGAGAGTTCTACTCGAGCAGGGCAAGAAGCATGAGCAAACCTCAATGTCTGCATTGTAGTTGTCTCACACAGCTCGAGTGAGATTTGTGACGCACCATCGAGCGTGTTTTGAAGCTGCAGCACCTCACGAATAAGCGCGGCCTTCTCGTCCGAAGTCGTGGCTTGACCAGACGATGCTGAGGTTGTTGTAGCCTCAGCTGTTTCTTCACGGGCAGACGCCTCGCTGGTCTGTGCGCCGACCTTGTGAGTTGATGTAGCAGCCCGACACCACGATCGCGGCCGTCAGCACTCAACGTACCGCCATGCTGCCGACCACCATCCATCCACTTCTGGCGAATCACCAAGTGTCCCATGCGCCCCGCTATTGCCCCACCACACAAAGTATCCTTCGCTGCCGCCTGCCTCCCCTCCTCCTTGTGACGCGCTCCAATGTCTTTCGAGGTTCCCACCAACAACCGCAAGCAACTCTGGATGAAAAAGCCCCTGCGCCCCTGTGCTCTCTCTTCTTCTCTCTCTCTCTCTCTCATTTCTCTCTCTCTTCCACACACCACAAAATTGCTGACATTGGTCGTTGGGAGCCCTTTTGGCGCTGGCGCAGGCGACGGAGTCGTGGATGTGATTGTGTCTGTGGCGTTGGATCGTCTTGGGCCATTTCATTGACAACGGGGACGCGACCCGCTTTGGTGCGTGTGTGCCCCAGTGGCGAGAGAACGCTGACTTGCCCTTTTTTTGGTGGTGGCTTATGCCAGCAACAACGCGCTTCCCCAGCACCCTGCGACCCTGCTGGACACCACAAGGACAACCCTTGTTAGACACGCGCTTGTCGTCACGTCCTCATACTCGCACAAGTTTGTGAGCAGATTTGGGCTGTTGTGGGCGCCTCGCAAGAACCTGGGCTGACGCGCACCAATAAGCATATACACCACAACCACGCCTTTGACGTGAGTGCTTGCAATGTGGCTACGGCATCAGCAGTATGGCACTTGAACAGATGGACCACTTGCAAGAATACGACAGTGTGGCCAAGCTGCACGAGGCACCAAACTGGCGACAAATGATCCAGGACGTGAAGAGCCTCAATGACGCCGAGTTCACGCTCGAGGTTGGCCTATCCACGGCCGGCGCACGCTCCCTTGATCTCTTGCGCATGAAGCGTTGGAAACCCGCTGTCATTTTGGACTTGGATGCCTTGGATTCCGACACCCATGCCCGAATCGAGACGCTCGCTACCGAGCTCCATCTCCTCGATAGATGCATGCTATTTACCACCGCAGCGACTGACACTGGTTGGCAGCCCATGGCTTCTGGAGACATTCTGAGGAACGTCCCCGTCGTTCATGCCTGCTCCCCCGACTACCTCGTAAAGTTTGCGGTCAGTACAGTTTGCTTTTCTCTTGATATGCTCAAGGTTCTGGGTTGGTGTTCAAACATGCGGATGTACATCCTTGTGGAACGGATGAAAGTTGGTTGTTGTTCCTGTCGTCATTCTCACGACGCCACCCATGTTCCCATTGGCACCTGCACTCTCCTGCGACTCTTACCGTGATTATCCCCGTAGGCACGTACACCTCTCAAGAGCCGTGACGCGGTCTTGGCAGGCCTCAACTTGAGCATGGCACTGGAGAATGCTCTGATTGTCAGCAACGACCCTCAGGGCTGGCGACTCTCAGATCGCTCAGCCATCGTTCGCTGGCCCGCCCTTTTTGGCCACCACCTCCCCTCGGCCATGGTGGCCGCTGCTGTCAAGCACCTGGCTAGTGGCATGACAGCCACATATGTAGCCTTGACCCTCCGCAGCGCCCTCAATGACTTTCCCGACAAGATTGAGTGGCTCGAAGGCCCAGAACCCTCTCACGTGGATCGCCCCATTTTCCGCGAAACGTTGACGCGCAATAAACTCCTTCTCGTGTGTGACCTTGACCAAACCCTCGTGGATGTTGAGGCCCGCCCCCTCGAGCCCGGACAGCCCCTCGTCTATGAAATCGCCTCCGCTGACATCAGCTCCGGTGGCCGACGCCGCTGTCTTTTTGGTCGCTTTCAGCGTCGCTCTCGCGCCACCTTCCTACCTCGAGACCTCACAAGCCCCCAAACCCCAGCCGCTACCGCGTTCCTGCGGCCAGGCCTGCCTCACCTTGTACGCACCATTGCCCCCTGCTACGATTTTGTGGTGGTCACTGCCTCGCGCGGAGCGCACCCACATCTTGTGGAACAAGTGCTAGCGAAACAGCTGGGCCCCGTGGGCTGGCGGTCCTTGCGCGTGGTTGATCGAGATGGTGGGTTCCGCTTCCATATCACCTCGCATGCTTTCCATTTTCCTCCAGCTAGCCGCACAGCTGAAACTCACCGGCCCGGGCCTTTGCCAACTTTCCCCATCCACTATGGGCAGAGCTCGAGTTTGCAGGCTACCAGGAAAAATCGTTATTGGCCATTACAGATGGTGATCGCGACTTGACCCGCCGCTGCGTCGTTTTGGACGATCTCCCGAATGCATGGGCGGCCCGAGATCAACGCAAGGTGCTTTCCATCCTTCCTTATACCAGCACTGTCACCAGTCCGTACGTACGCAATGAGGCCCGTCATTTTCCAGTCCCCCTCACCCGCTATCTACCCTTCATAATTTGTCCGCCTCATGCAACTTGTCTTGACGCGCCACAGAAAAGTGTTTCTTCGCAACTCAAAACGGCTCGCCGAATATCTACTTCAACTACACGCCCAGTGGCTGAAGCAGCCCGATGCGGATACGGGGTCCATCATTACTGACCTAAATGCGCGCAAACGAGGTGCCCCCGTCTTTTAGGCCAGCAGAACCGCAACCTGCACGTCTTCCAAATGACCACGATAAAGCCGCTCACGTCCGGCTCGTTCACAATGTGCTTGGATCAGCTTGCTCAAACTGGCAAGGCGCTGCGCGCCATTCTTCCCTGTATACAATCTCAGTCGTTTACACCCCCCAAAACACCGCCTCCCATTTCACTGCCTGACGACCCTGGCGACCCAGTATGCCTAATTCTTCTTCTTCATCTTCATCTTCTTCTTTTTACATGTTAAATTTTTTTTGGGGCGCAATTTAAATACTGCCTTCTTTACGCGACATACGCAGACTTCTTTACCAGTCGACCAATAATTTACATGTTACGCATTTCTAGCTCGTCGCCAATCAGAAACAAATGGTCATGAACGGTCGCTCATTCGAATCAAATCTCCCGATTTTCCAAGTAGTCATGTGATTGGCGTGTGAAAAGGTGCAAAGATCTCGAAAAGGATCCCACAAGTCGGCACAAGTCTCGGCGCGCGGCGCACTAATTATGCCTCCAGATTCTCAGTAAGATAGTCGGCGGCCTCCTGGCTGATATTGAGACCTACGCGCCAAACGTGATAGCAAGCAGTTGATCGTGATACAAAGTTTGTGAGCACAAAATTTGACTATGCGCCCAGCGCCAGAACATCAGATTCTTGTACCGAGCCAAGCTGCTGGTCGCACATACATGGATTTAGAGCTTTGGTCTGGTCCGTGTCCCACAGGGCCACACCAGCCAAACCCATGTAGGCATGCAAAGGATCAGGGTAGCCTCCGGGGTGCTTGGCAAAGCCACCCATGTCCGACTCGGTGCTGTGCAAGTAGGCAAATAGTTGCTCCTGGTCAGCCATCTGCAAGGCGCCCAGGATGGCTAGGCTACCTCCCACCCAAAAGCTGTAGCACGTGTCCACCAGTTTGTTGGGTCGGCCATTGAAGCCTGTTTCCTGACGCTGGAGCAGCCATTCGATCAGCCGCTCACGCCGCCCGTCTGCCAAGGCCTCATCCAAAGTTCCCTAATCAGAAACACCAAAAATAGTTGGTTACAATGGTACGACCAAGTGAGCAAGGTTAGCAGCAGAGACCCTTGGACCATCGTCACCCTTTAAAGGGAGTGCAATAAGTTGGCTACCTCTTGCTCGTGATTGAGGCGCAAGCATCGACCAAAGCCAAGAGCAAGTAAATCTTACCAGCATGGCGAGGCTGGCCACCGCACAATATGTCGAGCCAGCGTGGGCCTCGAGGCCTGGCTCCTGTGCAATACCACCTTCATGGGTGATGCAGCGCTGCACAAAGGCGGTAGCACTGGCTGCATCCACGTGATCCAACCCTTTTATCATGGTAGCGACAGTGCAAGCGCAATAAAGAAACCGCATGTCCTCCTCGCCTCCCCCGAGATTGCTCACAAAGGAGCCACTAGCAACCTGATGGGCTCGGAGCATGCGCAGTAGGGCTGGCCGTTGAATACGACTGAGATCAGCCTTGAGTACGCCGAGCAAGGCCAAGGCAGTATACGTCATGGCCAAATGCCCGCCATCGTATGCGCAGACAGGAGCGCTACCTCCATTATCGGGGCAAAAAGGATTGCCAATGTGCGAACTGCCCCGAAAGCCACCCACTCCCTCCGAGCTCGACGGGATGACCTACCAATGCACACGACATGCCCAATGTTGTCAGCACAACCATAACCTCGACCCAGGAGAAAAAAAAGGAGACTCGACTTCTCTGCCATAACTAATAGAAGGCGTTACCCCTGTGTACCTGGAGGCTGTAGAGCCAATCAATAACGTGCTGGCGTTGCTCGGCTTGAAGAGGCGCGTGAATCAAGTCGAGGCCCGAAACGCAAAAGAAGACGAGCGTGGCTCGATTTGTGTCCAAGCTTGCCATAAAGCCCGGCAGCATCTGCATGTTGCGTGAGTAGTAGGTCACATGTCGCTCAAAGTGAAAAGGCTTGAGCACTGCACTGCGCGGCTCGGCTGCAACAGCCCCCGGCTCCTCCCCCTCAGCCATGACTTTTGTGCTCAAAAAAGGAGCAGAGAAAGAAAAATCCTTTTTTCGAAAAGTCAAAAGTCACACACACACACACACACACACACACACAAAAAAAGGTTTTGGGATTTGTTGTTGTCTTTGGATTCTCTCTCTCTTCTCTCTCTTCTCAAACCGACCAAACCAATTCATTTCTCTCTTCTCTCTCTCCTCTCTCTTCTCTCTCTTCTCTCTCTTCTCTCTGGGTGAGTGCCGAAATTGGTAGATGGGAGAAGAACGCACTAATCCTCCACATCGCGCGACACAACCGGGTGAAGAGGCAGGTGCTTGGGTGCAGTGCATGCCCATCTGCCTCGCCAGCTTGCTTGACGCTTGCTTCGTGAATGTTGGGGGTGAAACAAGATTTATGATCGATTTATTCCTTTACAAACTCCGCCAGCTCTCGGGTAATCGGGCTCGCTGGCGAGCCCAATCCGCATGCTCAATGCGTCCTGAGCGACCGCCAAGCTTCAAAAGCAACTTTTGATCGCTGATGACCATATGCTTATCGACTGCTTTAAGCATGTCCACAACTGTTAAGGCAGCCGTGGCCACAGCCGTCAGTGCCTCCATCTCCACCCCTGTCGGGGTCAAAGATCGCACGTAGGCAAACAAGCGCACGCCTGGTGTAGTTGAATCGGCTCCATCCGAATCAAAGACAAGCTTGACACTGGCAATGGGGATGTTGTGGCACAAGGGAATCAGCTCGCTGGTGCGCTTGGCGCCCATGATGCCTGCAAGTTGAGCGGTGTCCAAGATCGCTCCCTTATGGTTGCGACCATGAGCTAGCATGCTCGCTGCAGCAGCGTTCATCGTCACAACTGCGGTAGCAACGGCCACCCGATTCGTTTCGACCTTATCACCCACATCAACCATGGCCGGCCGCTGCGTTTCAGCATCCACATGTGTAGGGATGGCCACTGAGTCTCGTGAGTCCTGCCTGCGCTGACAACTCGTATGCATGAATCGCCCAGGGGATGGCTGCAGCCGCTGCTCCGTGTGAAAGGCCGAATATGCCATGGTGGAACGTGCTGGTTGGGTGTAAAGAGGTGGATGAAGCCACGGACTCGACGCCCATGGCTCACCTTGGGGGGCGGCGTCCGTGCTCAGCCCGGACCCAGACCCAGACCCAGACCGGTCAGAGAGCACCTTCCACCACAGATGCTCCCCAGTTGCCGAGGGCCTGCTACCTGGATTGGCACGCGCGCAAACGCCCCGTTGAGCGATGAGTGAAGAAGTCAGTCACGTGCAAAAAGAGGGTGGAGGTGGTGGATGAGCCATCCGCCATGCTCAAAGAGACAACCGAGACGGTCAGTCGTTGGCCCACGTACCCGCCGATGGTCGTCATGGGACGATTGTTACTCTCAGCGATGGCAAACATGCCAGCATGCCGCGCATGTTTGCGCATCACGGCCTTGCCAATCACACTCATCAGCTCTTCCTCGGATGCGCCACTTCGCAAAACATCGCGCAAGGACACCTCTTCGCTCCCAAACAAGCACACCTAGCATGTGAACCAACCACACAGGTCAGCTGGGCATCAGCAATGTTCCAGCCGAGTCCGTCTACTCTGGCGGGCTCTGAGCAGCACGTGATGAACCGCGTTGGCGAGAAGCAACGTCTGCCTTCAAGCCCTGACCTTCAGATTGCCATCAGCTGTCAGTCGCAAACGGTTGCACGAGCCACAAAAGTGGTTGGTCATCGAGGTGATAAAGCCAATGCGCCCTCGAAACCCATCTACCTGCCACAACTATGGCACAAGACCATGTAGCGTGAGTTGCCCAAAACCCAAAAAAATCATAGGATCAGATAAGACGCCGTCGTAACCGATGCAACAGCGCCGACCAACCTTGGAGGTGGAGTTGGGTCCCTCTTTGAGCCGTTGCAACGGATAGTGAGTCTGAATCGTCTCAAGCATGTCCTGGTAGGTCACAAGTTTGTCAAAGTTCCAGCGATTGCCTACGCGATGATACAAGATCGGGAATTGGGTCGCGTCAAACAACCGGCAAACTTCAAAAAAACCAGAGCTGGCACGCTGCTCCCTTGAGCACGGTACGCCTTATCCTCTTCCTGCGCTCGTGCTTCTGCTTCGTGCTACCTACCATCAAAGGGCATATACTCAATAAAGCGGCAATCCACGTCGTTGTCACGAGTCCATTCCACAAAGGGTAAGAGCTCCTGATCGTTGAGGCCGCGAGTAATGACGACATTCACTTTGACGGCACCAAACCCCAGCTCCTGAGCCGCCCGAATCGCCCCAAGCACGCGATCGTGCCCTAAATGACAAGCAACACAGGAGTAACCATCAAGATACACAAACAGCTTGATGCTTGTGAATGGTCTTTTGCCCATGAGAGAGCTTAAAAACTGAGAGCGAACTACAACAACTGTGCCGCACGTACCCTTGCGACGGGTGATGATCTGGAAGAGGTGAGGATCCATGGTGTCCAAGCTGATGTTGAGACCGTCAAGGCCAGCAGCCTTTAAGGCAGGCAGTTTGCGTTCAAGAGTCACGCCATTGGTGGTCATGTTCACTTCTGTTGTGTTTGGCAGGGCCTTGAGAGACTCTGATCAGCCGCAACCCAGCCAGAAGAAATTGAGCCGTGAGCAAGACAACAGCCAGAAGCGACCATGCGAACCAAAGTCAGGAGCAGAGTCAAACTCATTGCACGGAAGGGTTACCAACCGACTACTTCGACCAGACGTGGGTAGACCAAGGGCTCGCCTCCGGTTAGCCGAAACTTTGTCACCCCCATGCGACCAAAGAGCGCGGCGAGCTGCTGGCGCTCCTCAAAAGAGATGAGCCTTTCCGAAGCGGTGAGCTTAATGCCGTCTTCAGGCATGCAATACTGGCAACGCAGATTGCACCGCTCTGTCAGGGAGATGCGCAAGTAGTCGTGCGATCGCTGAAATCGATCCACCAGGCCGGCGTGAACGGCATGTTGCCTGCTCGCGCTGAAGCTATTCACCCGCCGCGCTGCTGAGGCAGCCCTGGTTCCAATCGCAAGCATACTTGGCTTTGAGATCGGTCGATCCACTGCAAGCCAAGATCAGCAGCACGGCCGGCCTTCAACCCAACCACCTGTTGACCAACCCGCCAACACAATTGCACCCACTAGCGAGATGACCGGATCAAAAGCCAAGAGCCTTGGCACGAGTGAGCACATCGACGTCGAGGAAACCAACGCCAACAAATACAGCAGCAAGTTCGAGCACACCATCTCTCTCTCTCTCTCGCTCTCTCTCTTTTCAACACGCGCCAATGCCATATTGTCAGACAAATCATGGCCATGTGCTGTTCTTTTCTCGATTTTTGCTCTCTCTCTTCTATCAAATGGAAACCTCGTAGGGGAAGTAGATTCATCTTATTATGGAGAGCGCGTTTGTTGTTTTAACAACAACGGAGAGCAGATCGGGCGGGAGGTGCACAAGCGGATGGTGTGTGGCGTAGGTGAGGAAGGCCCGGAGAGGACGACGGGCCTCATAGACAGCTACATTCCAGCCCATCCAGACTATGTATGATGTTAGCATTATTACCATTCACAGGCAACTTGCTGGAAGAGGGGAAAACGTGATACGTGCCAGACGTAGCTCGCGACTCTCAGAGCCAGGGCAAGGGCGGAGGGTCGTAATCAGCCGCCAGCAACTCGTGAGGGTGCAGGGTGGGAAGTCCCGCTGGTTTCCATTCCGAGTCCAGCGGACTTGTTTGCATCAGCAGGAGGGGCTGACTCCCGCGAAGTTGCGGCGGGCAGGCACGGATAGCTGACTTCAGGTGGTGCCACGCGCCCTGCTGAGATAGATGTTGTTGCCATCGCGCGGTCAATGGCACGAGCCGAAAGGCACTTTCTGGCCTTGCAGTGGCCTGGAGGGCTGGGTGACAGCGAAATCGCCCGTCCCAATACCAGGCAGCTGGGGTCGGTGACTGGATGGTCAGGGGCTCGAAATCAGCCCGTAAAGGCGACCGCCACAGGTGGAGCGCGTGATTGGAGCCCTGACGTTCAAACGATACGACCCCGACCTGGCCACGCACGGGCTGCGACTGCTCGAGTGTACTGACCAGCGCCTCCACTTGTCTGGGGTCCGGTTGGCGACCCCCGCTCACGGCGACCAAACAGGCCGTGATCAGCACAATCTGCACGGCGCGAGGCGCCCTCGCTACGAGTTTGGATTCAATGGACCATATTTGTGGGTGCACGTCGTGGTGCAGTGCAGACTGTGCCAGCTCCCGAGCCTCTCCCTCCAGCTCCAGTCGTAGTACGGTCCAATTTTCAGCCAACGCATACATCTCGCCGAGTGTGTCAGGTGTCTGCTGCTGGCGCGCGGCAAGTGCAAACCGAAGGCGGTTGCGTTCATATTTGTCGCTGTCGTTGCTGCAGTCGTTGACGGTTCGCACGTCGTTGGTTTGACAATACTGGACCAAGTCAGCCTTGGTGAGGTGCAGCAAAGGCCGGGCTAGCGGCGCTTGAAGACCGTGCCGCTCTGACCGCCAATGTGCTCGTGCACGGATGCCCAGGGCACCGACCAAGCCAGAAAGGTTGCAGATGCGCATCAGTATGGTTTCAACCTACACAGGCACAGAAGAATGATGCATGATGCATGATGTACACACGCCACATGGAGCTGCAGCCCCGCTATGCAGACGGGTTCTGCGCGCGTTGCGCTGCTGCGGCCGGCAACAAGGACAGATGTCAGCTGGCAGATTTTATGTTGACTGTACCTGATCGTCAGCATGGTGAGCCGTCAAAATGGCTTGACAGCCGTGCCTAAACAAGCCAAGGCACACATGATCAGACAGACTGGCTGATGCTTTGCTGGTGATCGCGAGGGGTCAGCAATCTGTTTGAAAATCCTCTGGCTAAACCGACGTACTGGTGGGCCGCAGCAACCAGCGCGTTGTAGCGCTCGGTTCGGGCAAGCGCCTGCGTGTTGCTCCGTGGAGCGGCCGCCCATTGCAGGGTTGACATGCCGCAGACTATGCTGTGGCGCTGTAATTCAGACATCACCTAGGTGTTGAGCGCATGAGAGAACACAGAGAGCAGCGTGTTGTGCCAAGACAGTGCGGCTGTGGCACGTGTGATGTTGGCAAACGAATCCAGAGCGGCAATCACGACTCGTACTTGATGCGCTTCATCTGTGCTCTCCGGGCGCAATCGATGGTCGACCAGGTGTGCCCGGACACGGCCAGGCTGCTGCTGATGCAGTGCGTGCACCAACGCCATGCTACAGATGCAAGCGGGCGCATGACCGATCAGCCAACACATCGCACACGTTGCCATGCTCGTCGCGTCGTCCCATTCGCACCTGTCTGGCCCGCCTGAAACGGCCACCAAAAGGTTGCGGGCATCCTGTAATCCACATCGCGCCAGTCCGGTTCGCAGCGCGACGGCATCCAAGCCGCCCATGTTTGCAACTGTCCCACCGCTTGTCAGATCGTCAGATCGTATTTGGCAGGTATTTTTGCTCAAAGCCTTTATATTGATTATTATTCCTCACGGGCTTTTGAGGAGCTTAACGTTGCGGTTACTTCGATCCAATTTGTTACTCTGAATACAATTCGCCGCAACCGGCCGTCTCCTTTTGCTTTACAATGAGCTTGTCGCGAGAGTTTTCACTGTTTTCAGTGTATTTTCCTTCCATTTTTTTTTTTTTTTTGCTCCACGTCTCTGTCGTCTGTGTTGCGCATGCGTTTCCTGCGCTTTTGCATCGACCTCCATTCAAGTACGCATTGGAACTTGAGACGTCGATTGAGCAACGAGAGCAACGACAGTGAAGCGGCTGACTGTAGACTTTAAACTTGAAGTTTTACGAGGCTACACTGGCGGATTTGGATTTCAAGCTGAGATTGTAAGGATTAGCCATCAGGGACTACAAGTTGACTGGCTCAAAGTTGCTTCCGAGTCAGTTGTCGCGACGCGCGGGCGGGAAAACAGGAGGACACCCCGTGAACCCATAACCATCACAACGAGGCATATCCAAATTGCATTGTATACAGAAGGACCACAAGCGCTGAGCAAGGTTGCATCAGAGGGGCTAGCCTGGCATCGAGCACAAAGAATGGGTGGATTAAACAAGCCCTCGCCTCTGCAAACCCCACGCCAGGCCCACAGCCACCAAGGCCGTGCCCGCAGCAACAGGTAGCACCCAGGCTGTCCAATCCCGAGGTGCGGACAGTGGGGTCGCAGATGGAGCCACGGTCATCGGAGTGGCGTCAGGGAGTGGCACCTCGGGTTCTGGTTCACCAGAGGCAGTAACCAAGGCCTCACGCAATCGGCGACGCTCCGCAAGCAGCCCAGCCAAATCCCAGGAGTGATCATATGTCAAGTACGCCCAAACCTGCGCCGGCATCTCTCGCTCTATCGCTCCCCGAGCAATCAGGCGCGAGCGTCAGAAGCGCAGGCTGCCAACCACACGGAGCATTTTGACGGAGATGCAGACATACCATCCAGGAGATACCAAGGGTCACGCAAGATCAACTTGCGCAGCTGCACCGTACACAGCTGCTGGAGGGAAGCGGCAGTTTGCAAGGGGCACGCATCGAGACCGGCCTCGACAGCCTCTCGTGCCCGAACAAGCTGTGCTGCAACTTCTGGGTGGCCATTGAACTCAGCCAGGGCCTGGGCAAGGGCACCGTAAGAAAAACAAAAAAAACCACCCCAAACCACACCACGCGTGCGCACGCATTCCGACACCGCAAACCAGCTCACCTCTGGACGCCAACCGTTTGCCTTCTCGGCGGTGGGATCAGCTCCAAACTGCAGCAAAAGCTAACGCCACACACCAACCGTCACGGGAGCACAGTGCACAGTGCTCAGCGAGCGACAACGACGTACATCAACAATGCGTGCATTCCCACGGGCGGCCGCACGGTGCAGCGGCGTCCACAAGCACACGTGAACCTGGGCGAGCACGTTGGCATTGGCTCGCAACAACTGGCAAACCACGGCTTCGTCGTCATTGGCCACGGCAGCCAGCAAGGGTGTTTCCCCGCAGTAATCAGCCTCGTTGACCTCAGCCTGGTCGGCGGTCGCGTGGAGGTCAGCGTGCAGAGGCATGTCGCCAAGATGGTACCCGGAGCAGCAAAGACGCCACGACAAGGGCAGATGGTCTTACCATGCCGTGCGGCTGTTGCAGGCGCTGAGTGATGGCTAGTGCATCGCGCGCCTTGACGCAAGCTAGTAGGTCGGCATCCGCCTGGGCTGCTGCTACGCCGCTCCTAGGAATACCAAAGGCCATAGGAAGCAAGCCGCAAAATGAAAAAGGAAAAGCGCGGCAGCCAGGGATGACAGGCTGAGAAAAGGCAAGGCAGCAGGACGAAATCAAGTAGCTGGCGGATGTAGCCCTGCTCCTCGGTGCGACTTTGCTGTTATGCTCACACGCACGTTGCCAAACCCGCATGGGGTGGGTACATCAGAGCGTCGCTGGCAGCGGCAGCAGCAGCGGCAGCGGGTTCCTGCAAGGGCTGCTCAGATACCACCAGCTCGTTGGCATCCACATGTCGGTGTCGCGCCGCCACCAGTGCAAATGCCTACACACAGAGCAAGGTCCCTCAGCCACAGCAGGAAGCACCAGCCAGGTGGGTGTGCTTGGCGCCGCTCGAACGGGTTGATTGGAGAACGGACCTCTTCCACAACGGCATTTTGCAAGAGTGGCGGCAGTTGTGCCCACACGGCTGGCGCAATATCTGAAGGGTCTACCTGTTGCAGCACCTCGCGGGCCACTGGCCACCATTCGAGGTCAGAAGAAAGAGGCGTGGCTGACACGGGCATATGGCCGAACAAAGTTGATTGTATTTGTGCCCGTGGAAGCACAAGTACTCACTTGCACGCGGGGGTAGATTTTCCACGAGGCGTAGCCAGTCTATCCCTAACAGCCAAGCACCTCCATCCCTCGCTTGACTGGGGTCTGCAGTAACTGCCGCACCCATCATAATGGAGGCCCCTGCATCCACGCCCTCATCGTCGCTGTGGCGCCGGGTGGATCCAGAAAGAGCAAGCGTGTAAGGGCAGAGAATGCGCAAATATGCCAGCGTAGACGTACGCCATGCATCCAACGCTTTTACCTCGAATCAGTTTCATGGTGTGGACCGGTATGATCGGTCGGGGGTGAGGTTGCAGCAACCAATCGATCGGCCGAGTAGCGGGCCAAGACAGCCTGTGGGCAGTAGTGCAGTTTGAAACGTGAGTGGGCGATACACAGGACGCTAACGACGGCTCATCACATCGGGTTACAAAGCCAGCATTTGGCAGAACCAACCTCGTTGCCCGACAGAAGAGCCTCCAATAGGGCGTCATCGCTTTCAGGCAGCCCTGGCGCGGTGGTAAAATAGTCATTGGCGACAGTGGCAGCAGCAGTGGCAGCGCCACTAGCCTGTGCATGACTGGAAAGGGATTTGAAGTCGTGCAGCGCATGACGCTCAAGCTCGGCCAGCTCAGCTCGAGTCGTCGCTGCCACTTGCGCCTGTGTCTCTACAATGGCCTGCCCAGATCCGGTATCTGGTAAGACTGAGGAACGTGGGTGCCGAGGTCCTCGACATCATGCGTTCTTAAGCCGTGAGGTAGTCGTGACAGGCCTCGTACCTGATCCAAACGCTGCAAGCGGTACTGCAGTTGGCGATGTTCATTCTGAGCAGCGATGACGAGGGACGATGTCGCCTGCCACGGGAGCGGCTGGTGGGCACTAAGAAGCCACCGGAACCAAAAGGAGAGTTAGCGCGGTTTCAAGTCGCGAGCCACCAGTCAAGCACATAGCGGGGAAGCCTGCATTCTGTGCGCGCCGTCGTGTTCACATACTCAAAGTTGACCAGCTGCTCAACTTGTTCCACAAGCTCCGCAACCGCCTTCTCCTGCACGTTCAACAGCTCGAGCCATGGGTCAGAGTTCCAATTCACGCCGTCCCTTTCTGTTGCAAAGCCTGCACGATCGACACCTACCGCTAGAGCAGCTCGGCGCTCATAATCGCCCAGCTGGGCGGCGGGCAAGCCAGCATCCCCACTGCCAGAGCGTTCTCCGGCCATGACGCTCGTCACAACAACAACAACAACAACCAAAAGGGCAACACAAGTCAGATAAATTTGTCAGATGTCAGAAATTCATGGTTGAGTTGTCAATGTGTGTGAAAGCCAAATTTTGTGCACATTTTCATTTCTTGTGGCTGTTGCGGTTACTGGTGGCTCGTGGTGCGTGTGTGGGTCGTGCTTTTTTGCGCGGCTTGATGTGTGTGTCGGTGTTTGTGTGTGTGTGGAGAAAGGGGGGGCGCGAGGGCGGTGTGAGGGAGAGTGAGGGTGGGTGGAGGCTGGTCAGGGGTCAGGCAGCTTGGTTGGTGGCTTTCATTTGTGACGCAAGAAGGGCTGCCTTGGGAAGCTGTGACGTACATCGTCCTTGCTCACGTGGTGAATCGGATCTCACAATGTCTTCCATTTGATGTCCGTCGGCAGGCAGTCAGGCTGGCACGCTGGAGTTCTGAGTTGGGTGTTTTCCGTGATTTTGGCACACACCATGTCTGCCTGGACGCTGCGGTAGCACCAGTTCTCGACGTTGCAGGCTAAAGGGCGTTACGCCCTGAGCGTGGCGCCACCGCCGTCACGCGCCTTTCAGCACCGGTCTAGCTCGCCTTCCGAACCCCTGGCTCCGAATCAACCAACACACGTCTCCGATTCGTTTTCCCTGGAGTAGCAGACGCGTGCAGGCATACCGGCATTATGGCGGGTAATGGATTGGACCCTCAGGTGTTGCTTCGACTTGTCGAAGCGTTCTCGGTCAGCATGAATCCTGCTGCCAGTTCCCTGGCGAAGCAACAAGCCCTCCAGGTACGTTGCTAATGTACGGATAGCCCTTGGGAATCATTTGCCATTTTTTTCATGCTCAATACCCTCCCTTTTGATGGACTGCCATCGAAATCAGTATTGCGATGAGTTCAAGGCCACGGCACCAGCTTGTCCTCGCGTTGGTCTTTATCTGGCCAGCATACAGGAACCATCCTTGCTTCAGCGTACCCACGATCCCACGATCCGTTTCTTTGGCCTTCAGGTGTGTGTGTGTGTGTGTGTGTGTGTGTGCCGATGCAATCTCCCTGGCCTTCCCCTTTGACTCGGTCTTTTGCCGATCCCCGCCAACCCCCTCATCACGGCTCTACTGTCCTTCCTACCTACTGACCTGGCCTCGGGGGTGACACACTTGTGATCTGAACTAGCTCTTGCTTCACTGCATTCAATATCGCTGGAATGACTACCAGCCAGAGGAGAAAGAGGTCAGTTCCATATGTTTTGGAGATGACTGCAGCCGTTGTGCTCCCAGTGTGAAAGCTTGCCCGCTTGCAGGGCAGACAAGGCGACACATTCAAGCAAGCTCGATATTTGCGCCGGCATTGTTCGCTTTCAGGAGATGAAAACAGTTATTTGCAGTCAACTGCTGGTGAATGGCACGCTACCATTGGGCGAAGAGCAAACTTTTGTTCTGCTCAAAGTCGGCTCGGTCGTTGCCAAGATGGCTACCCGCGAGTGGTACGTCGCCAGCCCCCTGGTGTTCAACACAACTTGTTCCGGCTGGCACGGGTCAAATCTTTGGAGCTGACGGTTGGTGCTTGCGATGCTAGGCCACAACAATGGCCAGCGCTCATTCCACAGCTACTTCGCAACGCCGACGAAAGTTTGACAGCACGGTTTTTGGTGGGTTTGCTCTCGGCACAATTTACATTGCTTATTATACCCGCGCCCTTTGCCCTCCTCCTCCCATGCCTCTTGCGGCCCTCCACAAACTCACACGCTGGGTTGGGGCGTGGCAGAGCATGGCTTGCCTCAAGTCACTCATTGAGGACACCAACTCTTTCAATGACGATCTGTTGCCGCGTCGGCGAAAAGAGCTGGTACGTTTCTTTTCTGGCTCGCTACCCTCTGGCAATGGCAACGATCACGTATCGATTCGCGGAGCAGCCTTTCTGCGATCAGCTCATTGCAGGGCCATTTGGCTTGGTTCTAGACGCAAGGGCTGACGGCGTGCTTGGATGAAATTATTCCCTTCGCCACTACGACGCTCGCTGGTTGCCTCGCTCAGCACTCTCAGCACGAAGGGTTGCAGGCCGAGCAATACGGTGAGCCGCAGTGGCCCCCTTTTCTTGTCCAAAGATACTATCAGGCTCTCAACCAGTGCACAGGTACTCATGTAAGACTGCATCTGCTGGCAGAGCTGACGCTTGGCATCACGTTGGAGACTTGGATCGTTCTTGTCGAGTGGATTCCCTTTGAAAAGGTTGCACCGCACCCCCCTACACCACCATTTAAGTGTTTTGAACGAGAGGCATCTCCCTCCTCCCATGTGTGCATCTCATCAATGCTGGTGCATACGCAGCTCTTTGCCTCTGGCGTTCTGCCGCTGTTTTGCCAGCTTCTGCATGTGGAGCGACACCGTCAATTGGCCGCGGATGCCCTGCTTATCGTCATGAATCGCAAAGGACCTAAACACGATCGCCTTGCCTTGCTCGACCTCTTCCAGCATATGGATGTGCTTCTTCAGGCCGGTAGGGTTTGATGCCCTTCACAACGGCAATGCCTGTCATGGTACGGCGAGTTTGCTCGGCTCACACTCACCTCTTTGCTGGTATTCGTTTCCTTCCGTGCTTCCTTGCTTTCTTCTGTTCTTGTCAGTCCCGCAGTGGGACGCCGGTGGCCACGCAGCTGACGAGGAGGCGTATAACTTTATCAAGCGCCTTGCTCAGGTACTCGTACAATCTTAGCTCGGTCACAGAAGCTTGTCCATCTTCTTCATAGTTCATCCGCTAGGTTATTTGGATGGGGACGATGGCTACCCAAGCTGTGTGATTCACAGCCAACCTTTGTGACTTGTCTCGCAGATTGTGGTGGCCCTGGCCACGGACCAACTCTGCCCCTTGTGGAGCCGTAACAATGGCCCTTACAAACATGCACCACCAACCTTTGAAAGTTACTTGAGCGCTCTAATCGCACTTACTCGACACCCAAGGTCCGTTCCTTGGCCCTACCGATGGTGCCACCAACGCACCGCAAGGCCATGTGTGTGCGTACTCACTGCTCTTGATGCACTTATAATAGCGAGTTGGTCTGCTCTCTTACCGTGCCAGCTTGGATGGCCCTGCTTAATCACGACGACGCCTGTCGGGAAAAAGTACTACAGGACGTTCAGCCTTATTTGCTCCATGATGCATTTCTCCGGTGTGTGCCATTTGTCTCCTTCTGGGCCCATCACGCAGCCGTCATGTAATCGCGAGAGATGCCTTTTTTTTTCCTTGCGAATCCCGTTTACCCATGGTGGTTGTCTTGGATTATCACAGATTGATGCGGGGTGGTGGGTTGGAGGAAGATGACTCACCAGGCTCCGAGTTTGCCCAGCAAGACTTTGGGGATCAAGAAGAGTACAAGGCCTTCTTTGGTCTTTTCCGTGGCAAGCTGCTCGATGTGGTGCGCGCCATTGGCCGAAACCAGCCAGCTGCAGTACGTCATTCACTCGGTGATCTTGACATGCCTTGGGTCTCGTTAAGATTTTCCACTAAGTCGATACGGGTTTGTGGGGACCGTGTCTGTCACTCATCCCAATGTGTGCACATGGCTTGGTGGGGTAGTCGTTGGAATTTGCATTGAACCAACTTTCCGTGGTCATGTCCACGCCCCCAGATTCAGTCGATGGTCGCGTCCTTTTCAATTCATGGGACGGCATTGCGGTGTTCTGGGATGCGATTGTCGCTGTCGCCTATCCAACCGTTCGTCTTGGCGCGCTCTCACATGCTTCGTCTTGACTTTGGGCACACCCCACTAGCCATGCTGACCGGCCACATGTCGAATTTTTGCATCTTGGTGTGTGACGCCATCCATAGATCAATGGGGAGGGTCGTCGTGGAAGGAATGAGGCCTTGATTGAGCAGCTGAAAAACTGCCTGGCCGCGCTACTGGACTGGTCATGCGCCAACCCCTTGCTCATGGAGGCCGAGTTGACAGTGCTTGGGGCTTTGCTGCCCGTGCTCGAGCATGCGGTAAGCAAATTGCCCCAGCACCTGGGAGTTTTTTGCCAGAATCATTTGTTTTGCAAAATGCCTCATGCTGTTGTCTCTGCTCTGCTCCTGCTTGCATCGCGAACAGCCACAAGCCTTGCGGCTTATGCTGGAGAAGCTATTCAATGCCATGGAATATCAAGCTCAAGAGGACTACGTTCGTCTGAATGAAGCCGGTACGACATGGCGATGCGCCATATGCCTGCCTTTTGCAGTCCCTTTCTCTCTTTTTGCTCTTTGAAGCCAATTTGCGCAAGGCGAGGCCGAAGCGCCACATTGATCTTGTCATAATGCTTGGCTTGCTGCCTGTTTGGGCTATAGCGCTTCAATCTTCCACCCATACTGGTTTGACTGACGGTGCCAAGGTTCGCCGTAAGGCGGGCCAGATTCTTAAAAGCTTGTGCCAACGCCCGCCTCCGAGCTTCACTGATACCGTGCAAGGCATCATCGGGCGTGTGCAACAGTTGCTTAGCCAAGTCGAGATTGGCGAGATGCAACGAAGGTACGAGCCTTCCTAAAGCCAACTCGAGCTTGCTCATCCGAGCCTTTGATTTGTGCTGAACGCGCTATCTGCTCACCCTTGGTTGGTGGCGTAGGCTTCTGATCGAAGCCTTGGTTGTGAGCTTCAATTCGCTGGGTGACGACGTGCAAGAGCAATCGCTGTTGGGCTTTTTCCAGCCCATTCTGGCTGAATGGTGTCACGAGGAGAATACCCGCATGCTCTCTTCTGTCAATGCGTCAGTCTCTTGCGCCGTCCTGACGAGGGCAGGGCATGGTTGTCAATGGGGACGAGATGCTTGGGGTCTCATGTGCGTGGGGCTTGTCTTGATGAAATGCTAACCTGTAGGTTGATTGGAGCCGGTGGTCTCAACTCCGGTGAAAGCTACCCGCAAGCACAAGCTACGAGGCTACGCTTGACCATGAGCGTCAATGCGTTTTTGTCGGCCGTTCGTGATACGGCTCCCCGCGGCTCGGTGCGTGGTTGGCGCGGAAGACGGTTTTTGTGTTTGCTTTGCCTTGCTCCGTGTCAACCTGCCGCGGCTTCGTGGTGACGCTTGGAGCAAATTGTTTCTGAACCATGGGCATGTGACACTCACGATTGCTCTCACCGGCGGAATAATAGGCGGGTGTCGACGCTTCGACTGTAGCCGGGGCGGTACTGCATGGGCGGGCCAGTAGCGCAGGCATTGGCGCTGCTCATGGGGATCTTGCGACTCTCAGTGGCTTACATGGGGACGCGACTGGTGGCAACGGGTTGCAATACCCTGCGCTGTCTCTGCTCCACCAAACTTTGCCCAATGTGCTGCGACTCTGCAACACTCTTCATCACCTCGAAGTAGCGCCGGCTGCAAACAACATGCTGTCTGCCGACCCGTCGACACTGCCTCCGGGCATGGCTGTGCTCTTGGACCTACGTCGGAGCGATGTGCATGCAATTCTCGCAGCAAGTTTGGACTCAGCGTCACGCGACATGACCGCACAGGAGCTTTGGATGGACCGAGCGCGCTTGTGGCTCTTCAACCTGCGAGAAAGCTGCTATCGCATTCTCGGGTGTACCTTCCGATACGGCGTTTTATATGGTGCTGACGATCAGGCAGTGTTTCAGCAGGCTTGCGTTGAGGTCATCAGCGGGCTGCGCAAGCGTGATTTACGGTTGTTTTGGAAGCTGACGGTCTATCCTTTCTTGCGCTATCTGCCGCGCGACCCAACCATCAAAGGACACGCCGTGCAGACAGCGGCAGCAATCATCTTGCAAACTTGCCATCGCCTGTCGGCTTCCATGCTGGCAGCTCAGCAGGGCACAGGCGGTAGCACCGGCCCTCGTGAGCTGTCAAGCGAGGAGCTCACCCCCGAACAGCGAGAGATTCTTGAAGAAAAACTAGATGTTGATCTCATGGAAACGGTTATCATCACCTTGGATCACTTGACAGCCGATGTCAAGCTCCAACGCGAGGAGACCATCGAGGACAAGTTTTATCATCAGCCAGAGCTTGGTCCCTCAGCCTGGGCTATTTTGGCCGATCACAGCTGTGGTGAAGCTCTTCTGGTGTTTTTATGCCAATCTCTAGCCGGTCGACATGCCTCGCAGGCAAATAAGGCCTGTGCCACCCTCTTGCGCTTGGTGCCCGCGCTGGCTAGTCATGACGTTTACAGCCCCGGCCTGGCTACCTTGGTTCCATCAGCCTTACTTGACGCCTTGGCTGCGCACGGCGAACACCACGACAACCTGACCAACCTTCTCCTTCTTGCTGGGTAAGTCGTTTGGTCGAGCTGTGCAACTCGGGTCGGCCCTTCTCTTCCTCGAGGCAGTCGTGACGCATACTCACGCTGGCTGTGTCATCCGGGTTGATGCAGAAAATGCCTGCTATGGCTGGGTGTTCATCCGGCCTGTCAATCCACTTTCATGACCGTGCCTGACATCAATGCTGACCATCTGATGGAGACGTACAACATGGTAGGTTGTCGGCGCCAATCGTCCCGTTTTTCCCCCTCCTTCATCGCGGCGTATCATGGTACACGCCTGACATTTTTCAATCTGGGTGCGATTGTAGCTTCAAAACCGTGAACTGCGCAACACCAAGCCGATTCGCCTACGCATGAAGTCCCTCTTGGATGGCACGATCGGAGTCAATGTGGGGCAGGTAAGGATGATGGGGCGCTTGGTAGCCGGGTTTGCTTAGATGACTCGGGTTGCCTAACACTGGGCTGCCTCGCCAATGGGGGTTTGATAGGTGTACAACGCCCGGCCCAAGGTATTGGATCTTCCACAAAAGCTGGTGTTGGCGCGACAACCCACTGCAGATGAGGATGACGACCCTGATCTTCAAATCTCCGCCCTGTTTGATGAGTGATGGCCTGTTGCTTGGCCTTATTTTTTTGGCTTGGGTGTGGCTGGATGTGCGTGGCGGTTTTTTAGTTGTCGATTCTGGTTGTGATATGAGCGCTTTCAATATGCAAAAGAAGGAAATTCAGAAGACAGAGAAAACTGATCGTGCGACGGGGGTAGCGTCACGCAGGGGCTCAAGACCCATGAGTGGCTTCCTTCCCAAGACGAGGGCTTGTTCAGCTCGCTTCCAAATGACGATAACGTGCAGGTGTCCCAAAGTTGTACACGTGGTGAGCGTCACGCAAGATAGATGCGCAGGACGCTGTTGAGCTTGGCTCGGCAAATAGGGCATTTGTTTTGGTGTCGTTGGTAATGCTCGCCACATTGCATGCATAAGCATAGATGCCCACAAGGAACGCACGCTATGGCCTGAGAAGCGAAAATACCACGGGCCTGGGGAGTGAGAAATATCATAGCAACGAGGGGCTGTCGCTTTGGCGTGCACGGGCGAAAGCACGTACCGAGCGCTCCAGCTTGCAGATGGTGCATGTGCCAGTGGTCGCGGCTGCGGTCGTTGATGCTTCTCGATCTGAGACGGTAAAGCGAGGCAGTCAAAGCGTGAGGGGCCTTCATTGCAGAGTTGTGGTGACACATGATTCGAGTAGCTGCTCAGAGCGTTGGCATCGGCGCTGTCGCTTCACTTCCGACCTTCAAGGCCTAGGTGCTGCCGAAGTTGGCGCAGCTCGTCATCTTGGCTAGAATGAGCACTGAGGCGTAGCCGTCGGCGTTGCGCTGCTTCTGTAGGCGTGGGAGGAAGATCCCATGCAACAGTAGTCATCATGGTTTATGAGAAAAAAAGAAAGGGGGCATCTGGCGTAGACCGCACCTGGGCCAGGGCTCAAGAAGTACCACAAGACACACACACACACAAAAAAAAAAAAAAAACCGGCCAACTCACCCTTTTGTCGATTTTGAACCTCGTCTGCCTCGAGGCGAAGGAACCGAAGTTCACCGGGGCGTTTGTAAACGGGCACCTTGTTAATGCTGAGTAAAAATGACTTGGCTTGCTCCAAAGCAGCGTCGCTTGTTTGAAGGCCCGGCGTGAGCTCCACATCGTCGATCAGCACCACCGGCATGAAGAAGCGTAGGCCTAGAAAGCGCTGTAGGCGTGGGTTTCAGGTGAGCAGGTAGTTGTTGAAGCGGGTGCCGGTGCAGCAAAATCGGCTGCATGGGCATGGGACACGGCGATAGAGGCTAAACTGATGTGAAGTCGTAGGCGTTCACTCGCAATCAAGAGCTACAGACCTCGCCGCGCGGCAGATTTGTCGACAATTCCGTCACGGATAGCGACATGGTTGTCGTAGCAAGGATGGCGTCGGCGCGCATTCGGGGCAGAACCTCTGCATGTTCGGCACAAAGGGCATTCGAGGTGCAGCAGGTGGGAGTTACAGTTGGACAGGGGCAGAACCAACCCAGAAGCGGGTATTCAGAGCGCGGACCAGACATGCTTCTCCTTTGCTCTCACCATGGTAGATGGCCCGCTTGGCCGCTGGCCTCTCTGGAATGGCTTCAATGATCAAGTCGGCTGGAGTAATCGCTTCGGCAATGTTGGTCGTCAGCGTCACAAAATCGGCCAGAGGGAGCTGCGGATGCAAGAGCGAATGGATAGGCATGAAATGTAAAAAGAGACCCTGCAGCAAGAAGTCTTCGATGACTTACCGGTAAAAAATCATCCTCCAACAGGCCTTGTTCGTGGGCGCGATCCAAGCCAGTTTGGGCATCGAGCAGGCCTGACATCAACGGTGCCAACAGTACGATGAATGCGATGAGTCACAGTCAGAACTTTGCAAACGCGCGCGCGCGCGCGAGCCGCGTATTGAGGTCATTTGGTACCTCGGCGAAGCTCGTCGCGAGAGAGTCCGTGTGCGATGACTTGTACACCGTTCAGGGCCAGCTCCGCCACAATGCCGCGTCCAAGAACACCGCCGGCCCCAATCACGGCCACGGTCATCTGCCGATTCGACATGTTGAGTTCCCGAGCTTCTGGCAATCGCGCTCAGCGCCGAGTCGTGCTGTGCCGGGCTGTGCTGTTGTCCGAGGCGATGGCTGTTTGTCTCTCGCTTTGCTTGTTGCCAACTTTGGCAATGAAAGCAAAATGATGACAAATTCATGTCAATAACAACAACATGCTTTTGTTCGCTTTGACTGACCTTTGCCACTACCTCCCCCTCCCTTGTCTTGGTTCTCGGGACGGCCCAGCTCGGACTGTCTAAACTGCTGAAACATGGCAGCCTGGAGGAGAAAAAATGTCCTTGTTGATCTTGGACGTCATGTCAACTTTTTTTTCCTTGTATTATCGTTTGGTGTGAGGATATGCAACCTGGCTGACGGTGTGGCTGGTTGATCAGGCTTCTTGAATTTTTTAGTAGTAGGGGAGGATGGCGGGCGATGAAAAGACGACCCATAAAAGAAAAGAAGAGACAACTAGGAACATGAAATCCAAGAAAGGCAATGGAAGAGGAAGAGGAGAGGAACAAAAGAGGTGGTGGGACAAGCGTCGGCAAGCAATGCGAGGCACCGAAGGTTTGATAGATCAACTTTACATGACCTCGTAGGCGGGGCCACCACCACCCTCGGGCACGGTCCAGTCGATGTACTCCTGGGGCATCTTGATGCTGCAGCACTTGCAGTGGACGCAGTTCTGGGCGTTGATGACCAGCTGGGGCTTGCCGTCGGCAGACTCGGAGCCGTCCGTGTACTCGTACACACGGGCGGGGCAGAAGCGCTGTTCAGGACCAGCATACTCGGGGTAAGAGACGTTGTTGGGGATATCCTTCAAGTCGGGCTTGATGCGAAGATGCGAGGGCTGATCCTCGTGGTTGGTGCCCGAGCGCGACAGGTTGCTGAGAAGATCAAAGCTGAGAACGCCATCGGGCTTGGGGTACTCGATGGGCTGGTGATCCGCGGCCAGGCCCGTCTTGGCGCTGTCGGGCGAGTCGTTGGTGAGGGTCCAGGGCTCCTTACCCTTGGTGAGGATGGTGGCCAAACCCGCATGCATGATGCCTGGAGCCAGGCCGTAGTGGAAGGCATTGTGGACGTTGCGCACGCGGAAGAGCTCATCAAAGATCCACGAGTTTTCCATGTTATGTTGGTACTCCGTGGCCTCGAAACGGGCCTCGCTTTCATCAATCTCACCTGTCTCTCCGGCGGGTGCCGCGTTGGAGGCTGCCAGTCGGTCGAAAACGGCCTCGGCCGCAATTTGGCCCGAGGCCAGGGCCGTGTGTGAGCCCTTGATCTTGACCGAGTTGAGGAAGCCGGCACTGCAGCCCAGGAGCGCACCGCCGGGGAATGACAGCTTGGGAATGGCGTTGTAGCCACCCTCATTCAAGCAACGCGCACCATAGGAGATGCATTCACCACCCTGCAGGTGGCGGGCTACCGCGGGGTGATGCTTCCAGCGCTGGAACTCCATGTAAGGGTTCAGGTAGGGGTTGGCATAGTCGAGGCCGACGACAAAGCCGACGAGCACGAGGTTGGGTTCCATATGGTAGAGAAAGGAGCCACCAAAGGTCTTGTCCAGGGGGCTGTGTTGCAGGGGCCAGCCAAGGGTATGCTGAACATAGCCGGCATGGAAGTTTTCTTCAGGAACTTCCCAGACCTCCTTGAGACCAATGCCGTAGGCCTGAGGCTCGACGCCATCCCGAAGATTGAATTTTTTCATGACGGCCTCGCTGCAAGAGCCGCGGCAGCCCTCGGCAAAAAGGGTCTGGCGGGCAATGAGCTCAATGCCACGGGCAAACGTGGGTTTGAGGCTGCCATCCTTGTCAATGCCGACGTCACGAGTGGCTACACCGCGCACGGCACCAGCATCATCGTACAGAACCTCTGAGGCGCTAAAGCCGGGGAAAATTTCGACGCCAAGCTCCTCGGCTTGCTCGGCCAGCCAACGGGCGAGACGTGAGAGGCTAATGACGTAGTTGCCATTGTTGTGCAGTTCCGGGGGCAGGGCAATGTTGGGAAGCTCAAAGCTGGACTTGTCGTTGGGCAGAACGAGAAAGTGGTCCTCCGTCACCTTGGTGGTCACGGGGGCATCAAGCTCCTTCCAGTTGGGGATGAGGTTGTCAAGGGCGCGGGGCTCAAAAACGTTGCCACTGAGAATGTGAGCGCCGACCTCAGCACCCTTTTCGAGAACGCAGACGGAGAATTCACGACCTTTTTCGTTGGCAAGCTGTTTAAGGCGAATACCGGCAGCCAAACCGGCAGGGCCGGCACCGACGATCACAACGTCATAGTGCATCTGTTCGCGAGGCTCGGCCAGGGCCTCATCCGCCTCACTGGACAAGAGGGTACGGGCACGGGCCAGGCTGCGGGTTCCACGGGGCACCGGCGCCAGGGCGCGGCGAAGAAGCCCGGCGACGGGCAGGGCGCGCAACATGTTGAGGGTTGTGCGGCCTAAGGGACATGGTGCAAAAGTCGGCACGCAGGTGAGTCTGGAGCGGATTGGAGGCCTTTCACTCCACAACTGTGCTTCTTCGACGCCATGTGTGCAGGTGGCAGGGGTGTGAACTGCAGAGCCAAAGACATCGGGAAGCGGGCGCAGGGCAGACAAGAGAACCCTAATCTCGCCTCAAGCCACGCAAGGTCAGACAAGGGAGGGCGGGGTAGCAGAAAGGTCAAGGGTCCTGCAACCTCAGAGGAGGGGGGGAATGGCACGAGATGCATTCACAACAATGTTTGCTTGCACCAACGAAGGACACCCAAACATACACAACACTTCCACGCACGGCAATGTCTGGTGATAACTGATCAGGGCAAGTGCAATCGGATGGAAGTGTGCGCCGCCTGGCCCAATCCGTATACCCCAACATGTACCAACGACGCCAAATGCAGTGGCGCTGCCGTTTGTGTGTCTGATCGACTCAAACCTTCTTCCAACACACACACACACACACACCTTTGAAAGGGAAAATAACGTGCGGGCACCTGCACGGGCAAGGTGAACGCATAATACTGTAACAAGATCACACTTTAATTTGTTCAAAGTGTGCTTTACATTACAGTTGATGTCATAGCCATAGGCTGCAATAAGCTACATAGCCTCAGCACGTTTGAGGTATGTATCTACGTGTAGTTTGCTTTGTATCTTCTTTCAGGACTGCATGTTCTGCAATATGTTCGACATTTAGTGCTTGGTGGGTTCAAGGGCAAGAAGCGAATGTCAGAGAATCGGCCAACACAAAGTATTTTACATCTTGTTCAAGGCGAATTTTTTTTTTTCAATTTTTTTTGGCGGAAGAACGAGGAGCGAGATGGCATCGGTATGTTTGAAGGCGGATGGCACAGACGCCGGTGCAGTGTTCTAAGGGGTAGGGGCGGGGATTGGTCAGTGAGCAGGAGGCAAGCATTTGGATTGTTGATTTTGCTGGTTTTGCTTGAACCGTATGCGCGCGCGCGCGTGTGTGTGTGCTTTTGAAAACGGGGAAGGGCTGGCTAACATGGTGGGATGGATCGGGTCATAAGAAATACAGTTTGGAATTGTACTTGCTTGAATGTGTGAATGACCGTCTTCGTGTTGTAGACGGATCGGGTCAAGGGCAACTTGATCGCCGATCCTCAATGCCATGTTGCTGATGATAGGATGGTCATTTGTGCTACCTGAACCGTGATGTTCGGTTTTTGAGCAAAGTGGATGCCGACTGGGCGCGGGACCTGCTTCCTCCCCAACGTATGCTTTCGACTTGGGCTTGACATACAACTAACTACCTCGAGCGTCGTCAGACGTCGCACAAAGATATTCCTTGCCGCCCCGTAGTGTTGCCTGTCTCTCATCAGGGGTGCTGTTCTGGTCCAACCTGTCTCCTTTTTTTTAGGTTTGCCAATTCCGCCCGAGCTGGAGGTGCCTGTTTTGCCGCAGGAAGGTGAGCGGTGCTCATCCTTAATTTGGCCAGCTCTTCCGTATTTGAACACCTTTCAGGCCAAGGCCCCCGTGCCCCACCACTGACTCTGGATTGTGTCTGCCATGTATTACGTCTTGGTGCAGATAAGGAGGATGAGAATGAAGAGGACAAATGGCATGACAACGGTATCGATCGACTCGTTAACTTTGAAGATACCGCTTCCGCAGTGTCCTCGTAAGACAGGTTTCACTGCTAGTCCAGACTGGCCCATCTCGAATCCTTGTTGAGCCGCCAAGCGGCACCATTCACCGTCTGAATTTGCTCTTTGCCCACACATAAGCTGTCTTGCGGTTTCCTTTCCCAACCGCAATAAAATTGATTGCAATGAATTGACGCATGACAAACATCTAGCTTTGCCTGCAATTTCTGGATTGTTTGCTGGTGAGTTCAGCCAAAAAGCTCTAACGTTCGTTGCCGCCATCTGTTCAAGGAGAGAGAGAGAAAGAGAGGGAGAGAAAGAGAGAGAGAGAGGGAGAGAGGGAGAAGAACGAAGAGGAGGAGTAAGAAGAAGAAGAAGAAGATCAAGAAGAAGAAGAAAGAAGAAGATGCAGCAACAGCAACAGTAACAGCAGCAGCAGCAGCAGAAGAAGAAGAAGAGGAAGAAGAAGAGGCAAGGATCAGGTTCGTGAGATGAACAAGCATGCGAGGCGCGTGGGATGAGGCGGGAATACAACGGCCAAAGTGCCGATTATGCAAGGCAATCTGGCAAGGCACGTCGCGTTCATTTGTCCATCAACTCGGAGGCGTCCGAGCAGCTTTGCGCTCGCGCAGTCGACGCTGATACTCGGCATTTTTGTGCCGCCGCCGTGCTTTGCGCAGGTCTTCAAGGGCATCTGTGGGATAGCGCACGGCGTTCTCCGCGAGCCATTGCTGGTACTGCTGCTTGTGACACGTCAAAAGCTGCGAGTCCCATTGAACTGCCGAAGCAATGCGCTTGCGACCCCGACGCTTGGCGCGTTTCCCCGGTGGGTCACCGTTCTCCCCACCCGTCCCCATGGCTGCCGTGCTTGTGGAAGAGATTGAAGTTGGCAGGCTCACAGCGGGCCCGTGGGCCCCAGCTGGCCTGCCGTCGGTTGGTTGTGACGACCCGCTGGTGGGGCTCGCCACCAAACTGGCAGCCATGGACTCGGCCCTCATCATGCCCAATACATTGGGCAGGCCTTGCTTATCCTGTGCTGGGCGTGGGTCCGGCGTGGCACCGGGAGCTGGTCGCATGTTGGGTGCGGTGCCTGGTGTTAAGAGAGGTGTTGCAGCAAATGCAGCAGTGGTGACAGTTGTTGGTGCTGGGTTCCCGGTCGAGGTCGGGGGGACAGTCGCCACGGAATGTGTAGCCATAGTCGGTGTTGCCACGGTCGTGGGTATCATCACCGCCGGACTTTCCAGTACCGGGGCATTCACAGCTCCCACTTCAGGCTCCATGATGCTTGGAGGGTCCACAGCCGTGCCCTGGGCATCAGGCTCCGGCGAGCCTTCGGACCCTGACCCAGAGTCCGACTTGGTCTTCACCAAGACAGGCATCTGCGTCATAAACTGTGCAATGTCTGAAGTAGTGGGCGATCGCGAGCGCCGTGATCGACCGTGCGTACCCCGGGTTGGGGCACGTTGTGTCGCAAGAGCAGAGGTGGCGTGGGTAGTCGGGGCCACAAGTTCTGGGCGCGCGGCCTGCGTTCCAGCTGCCACCATGGGTGGTACCACGCTTGGTGCGCTTCCAGCGCTAACTTGTTTGCTATCATGAGCAATCGCTGTGGTGGGGGGTCTGATCACTGGCTGATGACTAAGGGTTCCCATAGACACTGCATGATTATGGATAGGCGCAGCTGCATGCGTGATGGCAGTAGTTGTCAAGGGGTTTGACATCGCCGGCACAGCAATACCCAGTGATCCGTTTGCCGCCTGGATCGGGGTCTGGAATTGGGCGCCGTGATCAGAGCTAGCCATGCTGGGTACCGGGTTAGATGTCTATCAGGCAGCAAGAACGGCTAACGGTGGGTCAGGGCTGAGCGGCTCGGATGTCTAGACTGTCCAACATTCAGCCTTGGGTCACAGTCAGTCTCGAGCAGCAAGCGGGTTGCACTGCCCGTTCATCCAAGTGAAGGCAAGCGTAAGCCGATGCATCAAATTCAAGGGCAGCGGCAAGAGGCGATCAGGGTCAAGAGGTGCAATGATGAGCAAATGAAGAGAAAGGTCTTTGCTGTGTTCAGCTGAATCGACCCCGCTTTGCAGGTTCTAATGTCGTGGGTCAGGTCAGCTTGACCAGGTCCTTTGCTCGACCTTTGACCACTCTCAAGGGGCTGTGCTGTGAAGATCGTGGGGCAAGGCCAGTCCTAGGTGCTTGTCCTCTTCTCCAATACCCCACCATACAAGCTATTTTTCACCCCGAGGGTCAATGCCTCGCTTATTCCTGGCGGGCGAACCGAGTCAAAGGATGGGGGGCCGGAGGCGCAG